GCTTGTTACGAGGTATTTCAATTAATCTTCTTCTTTATCTTTTATTTCTTATCTTTATCTTCTTCCCTATCTTTTATTTTTCATCTCTAATAGACATTGTTATAACAAAAAAAAATCATGTAGATATTTTAGAGTCAATTGTTTAATTTAAATTTCAAGCATGTAAATAGTTATCAATAAAAGGGGATTTAATATTTATATTATTATTGTTTTTATTGTTAACTTCGTGATAGGGTACCGATTAAGGGCGTTGTAGGGGTGCTTAATACCTTCCTTACACGTAACCAACTCCCGAACCCAATTCTGGTTATCAAGGCCATTATTGGACTTTAAAAAACCTTTTCTTTTTCTAATGTTTTGAGTAAAACATTGGTGGCGACTCCTAAGAACCTATTTTCAAAACCATTGATTAAGGATTAGTCTGGTCTCCAGGCATTCCTTAATTGATGAGACTTTTAAAAGGATGTCTAAACCATAGGTCGCAAGATCGGAAATTTTTGGGTTGCGACAGTTACCTAACAAACTTTAAGGTTTGTCGCAGTATTTTGGGCTAGAGTAACTAGTTATTACCCTGAGTGTAATTTTTGACAAGGCTTGCAGGCTCTAAAGCCGTTCTTGGGCCGGTCGTACGTCAACCACTACTTATATTTACACGTTCATGCCCCGGGGTATAGAGGGAATTGTTGTGTGTGAGCGTTTGTGTGCAATTGTTTATTTCAAACTTACAGATATAAAATCCATATAAAACAAATACATACAAAAACAAACAAGGTAAAGGGAACAAATATTTGAATTACTATTCTTATTTTGCTATCTTTAAGCTTCCCTAGTGGAGTCACCATCTGTCGGAACCCGAAAAATTTTGATCTTACCAACAGATGGTTCACTTCCCGATTGAAAATATCATCAATCAAGGAATGCCCAAATACTATACTAAACCTTAATTGAAGGTTTTGAAAACTAGTTCGTCGGAGTCGCCACCGGTGTTTTGCTCAAAACATCGGGAAAAGGAAAAGGTTTTCAAAAAATTCCAATTTGGCCTTTATAACCAGAATTGGGCTTGGGAGTCAGTTACGTGTAG